AGATAAATAGATTATAGATAGATAGATATTAGATGCTTCCAACCATAACCTTTTCAGATCAGTTACTTACATTTAGTAATGCATATTTAATTTGTCTTTGTGCATTTCATGAATTAATAGCTCTTTTTAAATCCAGAATAATATTGATTTTCTTGATATGCCACAGTCTGTCTGCTGGCCTTCTGAAGGACATCAGGTAGTTTGGTATTCAGGAATATGGCTGGTTTAAAAGTCCATGTGGAGGTTCTTGGATTGTCGGGTACTTTCAGCTCATTTGTGCAAATGCCAGGGACTATGATTGCTGTTTTTCTGATGCAAGTATGTTTACCTTTGTCAGAAGCTACAAAAGTCTGTCCCAAAGTGACACTGCCTTCAACCATGACTTCCTCTTGTTCACGGCACTGCCAGCACTAGGTGGTGCCCAGGGTCTGGGTTTGGGCACCATTTGCCTAGCCCTGGTGATATCTCATTTGCACGTCTCTGACATATTGTGATATTGAACAGCTCACCTATGGCTATTTGTCATCTGACTATGCATTATCAATGCATAATTGAGTGATGTGCCTTCTGTGCTCACTAACACATTTCTATCCAAGTGACTTTCTCTCTTCTCACTAAACTTTCTTTTAGAGATCTTTGTGCATTTTCTGCAACTGTCTGAATCCATTTTCTTCCACTCTGTGGCTTGACTACTCATCCTCTTGGTGTTGTTCTTTATGGAATAGAGTTTTAATTTTAATGAGGACCAGCTTATCAGCTACTTCTTTAATATATATCTTACTATATCTACCAACACATTGCCCAAGGTTGTCTGGGTTCTATCCTTTGGTACCTGTAGGGATCCTATACTTTTCCACTTTACATTTTGTGCTTTGAACAATTTGAGTTAAATTTGTGGAAAATTAAAGGTACCTAGGTTGTCGTTTTTGTGAATGAGTATACAGTTGTGGCAGAGCCCCCTGTTTAGAAAGACTTCTTGCCCCACTGGAGTGCCTTTGTGTCTTTGCCAAGGACCTGCTGATTAGGCTTCTGTGCAGCTAGTTGGGAGCTCTGCGTTGTGAGTCGTTTCCCGCCATTTTAGTCCCTTCACATGCGTCATGGTCTCGATGTCTGTGGATTTGCAGTAAGAGTCATTCTTCTGCCTCTGTTCTTTGAGATTGAGCTGGGCTGTTCTAGACTCTTTACGTCTGTGTAAAAAGCACTTTGACAATCTAAGCATAATGTACCACTGTGAGTTTGAGATTGCCTTAAATCTATAAAGCTATTTGAGACTATGTCCTTTCAAAGGACATAGTCTCAGTTCAGAACCATGGTGAGTTCTATGTGGTAGCCTTGTACCCCACGTCCTTCTCCTGTCTTCTCCATCATGGCCATCATCTTTCACTGAAACATTACAAACACATCGAAGACATAGTTTCCATTATAATTTTGAGCAGACTGTGTTGGGTCAACGAAAAAAAAAGCCACAAAAGCTTTTCCTTTGTTTATTCCTTCTCCATGTTTATTCTTCCTTCAATGAAGGTTTGTTTCTGGCTTCTGCAGTATTCTTACTTAGTGAAGAATTCTGTCAATGTTTCCTCCAGGGCAGGACTGCTGGCAGCTCGTCCCACCAATCTTGTTTGTCTAAGGAAGTCTATTTCTCTCTTTCACCTTTTTCCAGTGCTGGGGATGGAACCCAAGACTTGTACATGAGGGGCAAGTACTGACCACTGACTGAGCCATATTCCCAGCATTTTAAAAGAGTCTCCTATTTTGAGACAGGATCTTACCAAGTTTCCCAAGCTGGCTCTGAACTTGCTGTATAGCCCAGACTGACTTCAAATTTGCAACCCTCCTCCCTTGGGCTGATTATGATGGATTTATAGATGTGAGCCACCATACCTGACTGTCTTTCCCTTTCATAGAGAAGGTTTAAAAAAAATACAGAATTTCTATGTTAATGGGGTTTGTTTCCTTAGTGTTGATTGTCTCCAGCCATTCTCTTCCTGACCCATGGGGAAGGAGTTCTCTGCAGAAGCCACATATCTGATTATTGTTCTTTACTCCTTGGTAGGTCATTTGCTTTTTCTCTCTGGCTTCTTCCAAAGCTTTCCTCTTTATCACTGACGTTCTGAAGTGTGAAGTGAGTGTATTGTGTTCCTGTGTCTGTGACTTGGTGGCCGTCATTATTGACTCTGGTGTGTGTGTGGGGGGGGGGAGTCTTTGTTTGTTTGGTTTTGGTTTCCTCTGTCCATTCCTCTAACCCTGCTCTCTAGGATTCCCGCTCACGTGGGTTACAGCAAGGTTTATCATCTTCAGCCCCATTTCCTCCAGGGCCTCTCCTCTGTTTGTGTGTCTTTAAGTTTCATTGGATTTTGTCATTGTCGTCTCATTCCAGAGAGCCCCAATCAAAGAGTTCGTAAACATGCCCTGCCTGGAGCATCCCCCACTTCATCCCAGTAGAACATTGTTTCTTAGCCTCTCTCGTTTCCCTTCTTTCAGATCAATTAGGCTTGCCCGGACCCCAGCAAAATCAGTTGTGATTTAGTCCCTTGTCCGGAACTCCAGAGAGGCAGGCAGTGAAGAATAAAACTCTGAAACAGTTTCTAAAACAATTCTTTTCTGCTCCCCCTGCTGGAGGCATGAGGGGATTTTTTTCTCCAGCCTTCCGTACACAGACTTGGTAGAGCCCCTAGAGGTAAAACTCACTAAAGAAAGGCTGTTTCCCCAGCCTGAGTTGTCTCACGGTACTGAGCTGCCTGTCTGTCAAGCACCCTTTTGATCTTCCTCCTGGTGGCGCTCTCTACCCCAGCAAGCTAAAATTCTCTATCTTTGTCTGCCTGTCTTTCCCTTCTGGGAGACAGCATTTTGCTCTGTGGGCTCAGCTCTCTGCTGCGTGAGGAGGGATTGTTGCCTTTCGTGTGCTCAGCTTTGCGTAAATACCTACAGGTGTGCATGGGTGGGCAAGGTGCTCACAGCTGAGAGGTCATTAGAAACTAGGGCTTGGGACAGTCTTTGGAGTGGGGGCAGTGACTGTCATTCCCCCAACTTCACCACCGCAGAGGCATCTGTCTCTTGCTGTGGTTTGTCATCTAGCTTGCTCATGTGTTTCGAGCTGCTACGCAGCCTGGGCGAGCTTCTCTAGCATGCTGTGTGTAGCACAGATCTCCGTTGCTTCGGGTTACCTCTGTAAGTTCCACTTTATAGACTTCACTGGTCTGAATCAGAAGGCACGGTTAATTGTCACTTAGGAGGAGTGTAGGGTTGGGTCTCTCATTGAAATACCCTTGGATGCTGTGTCTCAGTCCAGGGCTCTCTGCATGCCCCATGTTAAGTTCTGTTTGCCTGTTCTACTGTAAACCAGGCCTGATGTTAAGCTCAGTGAGGTGCACCTTTTGTCTCAGGCTCACATAGCCCTCATTTCATGGAGTGTGCAAGGAATACTGATAAACCCTGCAGTGAATGGTCCCATTGCACGGTGGAAGAGAGTTACCGTGTGCATGCTGATGCCACGCGCCAGCAGGCTCTATCACATTTGTTGACTGCTAGTGATACTTCCCAGGCCTCTGGGGGAGCAGCTCCACCCCAGTAATGATGATATGGGACTCTCGAGAGAAAGGCAAGTGCCAACCCGAGTCTCCGGCCTTGCCATAGTGCATCCACAAACAGGGGAGAGGGGAAGGAGAGGAGATGAAATTGGGGGAAGCAGAATAATGAAACAATATTCCGCAATTTGATATAAGTAGAAATCTCAGCTACTCTGAAAGAATTTGTACAGCAAAATTGATCAAAAACTGTGCTGGTTGGCTTTGGGCCTTGACCATACAAGCCAGGAATTGTAGTCACAGCAGCTGAAATGCTCTAGATGACAAAATTTCGTGGCTTTAGTCCATGCTGGAGTCCAATGACACTTCTACATGGCGGTCCTACTAGACATAAGCAGGGTGCTCCTGCAGCTGCGGGGATTGTAGCCACTGGATTCAAAGGAGAACCAGATTCCCTCTTCTAACGAATCAGACCTATTGATTCCTAAATGTCCCCACAATCATATTGTCTCTTAAAATACCTAAATTTGAGTGAATAGATTAAGTCTTTGACACCTAGAAACTTTTTGTTGAAGGAAATGGACTTCGTGGGCCTTCCTTTCCAAGTCAAAATAGCTGCATCAGTGTTACTGAGGCAGACACTCTGATGGTTTGCTTCATGGGATCTACCTAGGGAAGAGAGAGGTTCCACCCACTCCAAAGGACATAGCTGGGCCTCTGTGTATACTTGGAAAGAACGGATTGTTCTGCACAATAGAGTTCCACAGCCTTAAGGTCATAGCAATAAAGTACCTGCAACAAACACTGCTGAAAGTACTGACTCATCAGCCCATACCTCTCATGAGTTTGGCTCACAACACTCTATTCAGGGCCTATTTTAACAGCCTTCATCTCTGAAGGCTCACTACATGGCTTCCCAGGCATCCTTAAATGGGATTTATTTTAGACATTCACTTGTTCATGAGTGCAAGGGAGCTCCCCTAAGAGGGAATGCCAGCACCACGCAGAGGCCCTGGCATCTCAGGTAAATCACCAGTGTTACTTGGTGAACTGTGAAGTACTATATCCCTGGCACTGACACAAAATGCCTGTTGACTCTCTTGGTACCCATGATGTTAGAAAATCCCAGCATCTTTTTAGGCCTTTTGGAATTCTGTGCCAATCGAGTCTTTATTCAACCTCAGTTGAACCCATTTGCCCATCTATCTGTTCCTTACCAATCAGACTGCCTTAAGTAGCCCCCACTTCAACACAGGGCTCTAAATCTACCCTGGTGTGACTCTGGACACTCCCCTTTGTGCCTTGCAGAGACAGCCTCCCTGCCTCCCCGACCTGTGGACCACCCATGGTGCCACTCCCCCTTTCAGAGTCCTCGCTGGGAATCAACAAAGAAACCAGGCACACCTGGACAGGACCCACCTTGAGGTGTCTTAGGTGATCGTAGACCTGGAGAAAACCATTCTACTTGGAGGCTTATATTATAAAAGCATTTTATTGAACACACTCTGGAGAAAGTCAGAACAAGAAGTAAGGTGGGTTTCAGGGTAAGAATTCTGTTTTGGTGGCTGCCATTCTGGAAAACTTGGGATATCTGTGTCATCGAAGAGCATCTATAGGTGCCTAGAAACTGACTCGCAGCACAATGTAGAACTGTGGCCTGGGAGGCCAGAGGTTGGGATTCATTGCCTCCTAGGAACCAAAACCATGTGGTTCTGCGGTAGGCTTGGTCTAGACTACTCTCCAGAAAGAGCAGGCCTGGGTGACTGCCTAGAGGAAGCAATCTCCGTGGGCCTGGGGCTGCCCATGAGGGCCAGGGTCTTGCAGCAGCTCTTCTTAGCTCTTGAAGCTCCTCCGGGAGGAGGAGGTGGTGGAGACAAATTTGACACTGGAACTGCTGCCCCCACCGCTGCCAAAGCCCATGCCCCGGCCACTGCTTGCACTGAAACCAGAGCCCCCGACACTCAGCCCACCACCCAGAGCAGTGCCCCCGCTGCTGCTAGAGTAGTAGCCTCCACCACCTCCTCCAAGGCCACTGCCGAGGCCACCGCCAAAGCCGCTGCCGCCAAAGCTGCCACCGCCGCCGAATCCCAGGCTGCTTCCTCCGTAGCCAGAAGAGACACTGTTTGTGACAACAGCTGTGGAGAAAAGAGGAATGGGTGAGGAGGGTCTCTCAGATTGAGTCCACACAGCTAATATGTTTGATCCTGCCTGGGTAGAGTGTATACCTGACCTTTTTACAAAGTAACAGAATGAGCCAGAGCTAAGTTCTAATAACTTAGAAGAGCTAAGTTATTCATCTGGGGTCCTTGACAGAAAAATGATGACACCAGAGGCAAGGCATAGGGCCAGGTACTTGGTAGAGGCAAGTATTAAGAACAAAACTCAAGGTGTATGAATCCTATAGGAGGTCGGGTGGAGCTGCATCACCACATGCCCCTGCCTGTGCTGTCCCCCCACCACCTGCTGCTCACTGTCTGGCGATCATTTATTGGCATGGGGAATGTCTGCCATCTACAAACAGCGGGCTTTGGAGTTGATCTAAGTTACTTACAGATGTTGACTGGTCCAACTCCTTCTCCACTCAGCCTGAAAGACAAAAAGTTGGGATAAGAGTGAATCAAAGCTGTCATTGTCATGATTAGGGTCACCCCAAAGCCAGGTCCCTGCATATTTCTAAATTCCTATAAGTTAGAAAAGATCATGTTTTCTGGAAGGATTTGGCCTGAGAAGAGGATGTGGCCCAGAGCCAAGCTGTCAAAGGAAGACTCTAATCCCTTCTCCTCCACCCAGTTCACGGAAGGTGTACAGAAGCCACAGCGATGATGAGGTGGCAATGAGAAAGCAGGCTTTGCCATAGGATCCTGCATTCCACAGGGGACCTCGAGCCAGAAGGAAACTCACGGTTAGCAATGCCCGTGTCAGAAAAAAAATGAAGAATACACAGTAGTTTGAGAACCCAGAGGAAGTGAGCTTCAGTCAGCTGGAGAAGTCATGAAAGGCATCCCGGCGGTGGAGGAGACTAAGAATGAAGGAGTGTGGCGTGGACACCAAGGTCTAGGAAAGAGCGTGAGCAAAGCGGAAGGAAGACGCTGTGCACGACACATCTGCTGGGGTCCTTAGCTGATCCCCGAGGATGGCGTGGGAGTGAGTCAAAGACACCAGTCAAAGCCCGTGGTCCACCCCATGCCAGACTGAAACTGGATGGTGTTCAGTCATTTGTTTGTGCATCTGGCGCCCTCCATCACACTCTCCTCTCTCAAAGCAAAGGCCTTCTCAGGCACGATGTCTGCCCACCTGCACTCCTCGCCCTCCAGCAGCTTCCTGTACGTGGCGATCTCCACGTCCAGGGCCAGCTTGGTGTTCATCAGCTCCTGGTACTCGCGCAGCAGCCGGGCCATGTCCTGCTTGGCCTTCTGCAGGGCCTCCTCCAGCTCTGCCAGCTTGTTCCTGGCATCTTTGAGCGCCAGCTCTCCACGCTGCTCTGCATCAGCAATGGCATTCTGTAGGTTGGCACACTGTGGAGATAAAAGGAGCAGTGGGGACACTTTGGTGGCTGAACTGTCCTAACTGTCCGTTTCTGAGAGTCTAAGGCAGATATACCAAACCTGGGGTCCTAGAAAGAATCTAGTACATTCTGGATATTATAAGTGGTGAAATATGGCAGATTGTAAATTGTTCCAGCTTAGTGTACACATGCACACATGCATGTGTGTGTATGTGTGCATGCATTCATGAGTGTGTGTCAAACGCAAAACAAAAGATGTCTTCCTTCGTAAGTCCAGGACCCCCTTGTCCTCTTTTAATTTCTCCTTACCTGCTTCTTGACATTATCAATCTCAGATCTCAGCCTCTGGATCATCCGGTTCATCTCCGAGATCTCATGCTTGGTGTTTCTCAGGTCGTCGCCATGCCGACCAGCCGTCTGTTGCAGCTCCTCATACTAATGCCACCAAAAGAGAAGGAAAAGACAGTAACACAGGGTGAGATACACTTCCCCAAGTCCACAGGCAGGAACTGTCGAGAGTGGTAAGTGGTGAAGTCCTCTGGGGTCTGGGGCTGGTTTGGGCCTTTGCAAGACGGAGCTAATCTTAAGTAACTTCTTGAGAGTCTTGGCTCTCCTACAGGTACTGCCATGAAACTCTGCCCAAGTTCCTGGGTTTTGTGGAGACCAGATAGCTTGCAGATTGCAGTTTACTCCAAGTGGCCTCAGCAATCCTGGGAGTCCTGTCCTTAGCACTGCTAGGACCTGGAATCCTGGACAATACCTCTAGACAGCAACAGCCTCGATATTCACCCAAGCACCCACCTTGGTCTGATACCAGGACTCAGCCTCTGTTCGGCTTCGGTTGGCAATGTCCTCATACTGTGCCTTGACTTCGGCGATGATGCTGTCCAGGTCCAGGCTGCGGTTGTTATCCATGGACAAGACCACGGATGTGTCTGAGACATGTGTCTGCATCTGGGACAGCTCCTATAGGGACACTTGAAGTCAGTCATCTGATCCTGTTATTTAATGTGAGTTTCATTGAAATCTCCCATTTATTGTATCATAATAAAGCACCCACAGGAGAAATTTAGGCTAATTGCTTACCGCATCAAAGAACATCTTCATGAAGTTGATCTCATCCATCAGGGCATCGACCTTGGCCTCTAGTTCCACTTTGCTCATGTAGGCAGCATCCACATCCTAAGGAAATAGCGGTGGTGGCCATCAAACAACCTGCACCTGCCTTAAATGGCTCCACCCCCAGGAGAGCACAGCCCAGGGCTATGGGTTCTCTTCACCACACATACCTTCTTCAGCATGACGAACTCGTTCTCAGCGGTGGTACGTTTGTTGATCTCATCCTCATACCTGATGGTAAAGGGACAGAAAGCATTGGTCAGGTGGTCAGGGCCAGGTAAAGGGTCTCTGTGCAGTCATGTGAACATGCTTCCACACTGGAAGGAGTCTGTTCACATCTCACAGGCAGACAAGTGGGTCACCATGAGACCTGGGCAAGTCCTTACCCTGTGAGATGCTGCCTTCTTGGAAAGTGCCTACCAAATACTCATCTAGTATCACTACTATTCACTTGGTTCAGCAATGATCCTGCAGGAGTGGGCGTGTAGCTCAGTGACAGAGTGCATGCTTAGCATGCAAGTGAGTTCACTGAGTTCACTCTCCAACACCACCAGGAATACACAAAGAAATAAAACACTAGTGGCCCACAGAAGCAGGGGCCAATTGGTGTGGCTAAGGGAATTCTTAGAGCCACCCAACAGGGTCCTGTCATCAGTTTCTCTTTGAACGGAAACTATCAAGGGCTACGCTTCATGTTTTGAGGGCACTAGGAGGAAATCCCCAAAGAGGGAAGGTTCCAGGACAGCCAGTTCACCAGGTCGTGCTTGGGGCACACACTGCTACCCAGGCAGGTGGGTAAGTGCTTTGGAGCGGAGCCAAGCCTGGGATCAGAACTTTCTAGCAGAGGCTTGGAGCTTTGTCTTAGTGGTGTAGTGTGCATGCTCCTCACCTGCGGGAAAGACAGACACCTCGGCCCAGCTATGGAGCAGATCTGGTGCAAGGGAGACCCAGGGGCCTCTTCCATCACACTACAACTCACTTGTTCTTGAAGTCCTCCACCAGATCCTGCATGTTCCTCAGCTCTGAGTCCAGGCGGCCCCGCTCTCCCAGGACTCCATCCAGCTGCCTCCTGAGGTTGTTAATGTACTGCTCAAACAGAGGCTCCAGGTTCTGCCTCACGGTCTTGGTGCCCTGCTCCTGCAGCAGGGCCCACTTGGTGTCCAGGACCTTGTTCTGCTGCTCCAGGAAGCGCACCTGGAGGGGGCCGAGTGTGAGAGGGAGAAGTTTCAGCTTCTGTGACATTTCTACTAGGGTACCACTTGTCACATGCCGTCCCACCAAACCCTGTGTTCAGTGCCTGGCCTGTGACCTGTAAGGGACAATCGTCATGGACATGCTCAATATCCTCCCTCTAGGAAGGGTAGTTCCCTCATGCAGGGCACAGAGAGCCCGGTAGTGACTGGCTGGAGTGTGGTCCAATTCACGAGGGCTTAAGAGGCTCCCAGACTGCCCAAGAGACACCTCAGCCTCTATGCAATCTGGTTATCAGAGGCCTGAGCTCATCTCAGCACACTAGGATCAGATACCCTTAGAGGGTACCCTCTGGAGGAGAGAAACTCTGACCCTGATTGCCAGCTGCTATCTAACTAAGGAGGGGACAAAGCCAGGACAGAGTCACCTAGAGACAATGGCAGTGACTGAGCAAAGCCTAGAGCATCTTCCCTCCACCGCTGTCTTTGGCATTCACTCCAGAGCCCACACCCGCTTATCTGCCCTGGACAGAACCACATCTCACCTTGTCGATGAAGGAGGCAAACTTGTTGTTGAGGGTCTTGATCTGTTCGCGCTCCTCAGTCCTCACCCGCTGGATGGTGGGGTCGATTTGCAGGTTCAGAGGGGTGAGGAGGTTCTGGTTAACGGTGACCTCTTGGATGCCTCCAGGGGGGCACACGGGGAAACCCGCGCCCCCATAGCCACCACCAAAGCCAGCTCCACCACCGAAGCCAAAGCCACTGCCGGCTCCACCACCGAAGCCAAAGCCGCTGCCGGCTCCTCCTCCAAAGCCAAAGCCGCCTCCAGCACCAGCACCAAATAGGTTCCTGAAGCTGCCACCGCCGGAGCTGAATGAAATCCTTTTGGAGCCCCCCACATTGTACAGGCTCCGGCTGCCGTAGCCACCTGCTCCATAAGCACCCCCAAGGCTGACTCTGCCACCACCACCACCACCACTGCGGGACACCGAGCTGAAGCTGGTACGAGAGACAGATGGGGTGATGGCAGAGGCGGCGCTGAAAGAGCGGCTGCCCCCACTTCGGAAGGACACACTTGACTGGCGAGACATGATGGTTGTCCCTGAAGGAGCAAGAGCACTGGGCGCTGGGAGTGGGGAGGTGCTGGAAGGTCGGCGCTCAACAGGACGCTGTGGGTGGCTCTGATACTTAGGAGCTTCAAGGCCCCTTTTTATCCACCTTAGAAGTGGGCTGGGCAGCAGAGCTGTCGAGCTGTGAATGATTAGTGGGCTGGGCATGCCCGGGGGGCAACTGTGAGCTCACCCAACACACCTGCACAGTGGTGTGGGGCAAAATGCTCCTCCCGGCAGCCTCTGCTCAGTAAGAAATAACCCTCCCTTGCAGCGCTGGTATCCTGGCAGTGTGTTGGGGGTGCTGCCAACTGTCTCTTGTCACCACAGGATCTGGGTGCTGTGTATAGCCTAGAAGGATGCCGGGAAGTAAGGGGCATTTGCCCATCGCTGCTGACCTAGAGATCCTTACAGAATCAGTGACTGTCCACTGCCCCAGCCTGGTTCCTGCTGCCTTACTAGTTTAGGGGATCTGGGCCGTCAGTGGGGCAGAGTTGGTTTCCCATCTGCCAATTATCTGCTCTTCTTACACTTGGCTGTGCAGGCGGGGCTACAGAAACCTGAGCTTTTGCAAGGCAATCTATGGCTTCACATTTTGGGTAATGTTCCAGAGAAGTGGGGTCCAGCCCTTCACTGCACTGTGCTTTCTTTAAGAGAGGTTCATTTACCCGAGATACCACTGGGCAGATTCCCCTGCAAGATTCAGGCCAGAAAGGTCCCTCAAGCCCTCAGCTTAAAAGCCAGAGCACCTAGGTCCTCTCACCAGGGTTGTTCACCATTGAGTTCTCTTTAAGGCCAGACCCACTCTCCACAGTTCCTCCTAATTCAGCTTTCTGTGTGTGCCCCTGCTGTTCTTTCTCCTGGGCAGGCCCATGTGGGAACTTATTAAACCAGAAAACCCCACTTAATCCTTTACAAAAAAAAAAAAATCTTGATACTGAACTGGCAGCCATGTCTCTCTTTGTGGGGAGCTGCTCTGCTAGCTTCCCTGGTACCCCCCAAGCTCTGTTCCAGCAAGTTCTCAGTTATTCCACCAGGGAAGAAGTGAGTCATCGTATCTGTTGATACAGGCTGAAGGCCGCCGCAAACACATACCTGCAGGAGTTTCTAATCTCTCCAGGAACATGTTGAGAATCGGCAGGCCTGTTATAACGGGGAACCACCCTGTTCCAAGCAGAGGGAACTGCTGTGTTTCCTCTCCCTCCAGCCCAAAGCCTCCTTCACGGCCAAAGGAATGGAAAATGGAATTTTAAGTCTGCAGACTAACTGCCAGAGAGACTAGACAGAGCAAGTTGGGGGGACCAGGCGGCTGGCACAATAGCCTGTCAAAGCATGCTGGTATCACCTGTAGCTCCATTTGAAGGAAAGGGGATTCAGATTCTAGCAAATGCCGGTCCCAAGCTATGCCCTTGTCATTCTGGCTCAGGATTTGAGTGGATCCCCTCTCTGACCCCTCCCACAGAAGAGCAGGGCTCTTGACCCCTGTTTGTCTGAAGCAGTGAGAGTAGTGAGAAGTGCTGTGGGGCCATGTTCTCAAGAGATCAGGAAATAGACAAAAGAATCTCTACACCAGGCTGCCTCGAGGAAGCCAAGGCTGTGGGCAATAATTCTTGAGAGCCAAGGGTCTGTTGAGATGGTGATGGATCACCAGGGGCTGGACTGAGAAGCCTGCTAATAGATGATCCTGCCACACTCACTGGCCAAACTGGCTCGGCAGGCCCTGGGCAACAGGCTTAGGTGTTTCTCTGCCTGGAGGGTCTCTGAGACCCTCAGAGACTACGCCAGTGTGACCTTTTGTAGTGTTTCAGAGAGCAGATGTGATTGTCCTGAAACACGGGGGCCTTTATCCCTGAGAAGAACAGTTGTAAGCTTGAGGCAGGTGTCTGGGGTACCCAAGCAGGAAAACCACCGCCAAGGAAAGTCCCACCACACACACAACATTGGCTACTGTCCCCACCGCCTGCATAAAGAGCCACACCTCCAGAAACATGGGGGCATTCTCTTTCCCCACTCAGTCTTCAGTGGCTATCTGTGAAGGAGGGCTTTCCAGGAAAGGAGTGTCTTGTAGCTGCTCCGAGAATTGCTACAGAGGTCACACTCAGGCCCAGGGGCCAGCGACCAGAGTCTGGTGGGGGGTAAGTAACTAAGCAGAGTGTGTCAGGGGCCTCACAAGAGAAGTGGGAGTCTCCGTGGTAGGGAGAGTGGACCTACCCACTTCACCAGACCCGTCGGGTATAAGTGAAACCTGTGGAGAGGCAGGCACCAGCTCCTCTGCTGAGTGAGAAACCCACCCCAACTTGGAATCCCTGTGGGCAGGAAGAGCAGGATCACACTGAGTCCTGGACTCTCCCGCAGGGCACTCCCAGAACGTGGTCAGACATGTCACTTAGCCTCTGCTTTCATTATCAAACCCCATGCAGGGCTGAGGGGTCCCCAGCAGCTGGCCTTCCTGTCAGAGGGGTGAGCCACAGACAGCTCCTCTCACTCCTGTCCTAGAGAACATAGAACGTGGGCAGAGACCACCTCACAGGTTCATGAGTGAGAAAGAGGTAAATCCACAACACTTTCCCAGAATCCTCTCCTCAGAGTCAACACTCTTAACAGAAAATAGTAAAAATAATTAAGTTTAAAACAATGGTTTTGCACTTGTCTGCCAGGGCACATCAAGGGTACAGACCCCAAAGCCAGAGGCATCTCATCAGCTTCCCTTTGAACACTGTAACCATTTGCTGGCTTAATTTGACAGATGCAGGGTCCCCTCCATCAAATCCTTCCTCAGGTCTCTGTGTGACTCCTTTCCATGCCTATTCTGAGTTCCAGAGACCTGCCCACCTAGTTCCATCTCTGGGACTGTGTCTTTTTGTCTTCTTCGGACAGGACACCTTCTAGGGACAGAACGATGCCTCTTTATGCTATGGACCTCCTTCTGCTTCTTCCTCTCCCATACAATCCTCAACAAGCTGCAGCCCTCGAAGGCCCCACATCCTGCTCTAGCCCCAGGGAAGAAGGCAAGCAACGATGCCTTCATCTTTGCCGTTCTTGCCTTGAGTGTTCTGCACAAAAACGTGGGGAGAATGGCTGAGGCATGAGTCACCCAGTCATCGGGCTGTGGTTGGCAGTCCCATCCAGGAGCCTGGAGCCAGATTCATAGGGTAGGGAAGGGCAGATGGAGCAGTGAGCCAGCCCGAGACAACTCTTCATAAAGCCTAGCCGCAGGGAGGAATTGAGGGAAGAATCTTCCTGCCTCCACCCAAAGCTCTGGGGTCCTCTCACCACAGCTCTGTGACCACTGTGGGTCTCAGCTGGACTGCAAGGGCATGACTGGTGTGTGTGTGTGTGTGTGTGTGTGTGTGTGTGTGTGTGTGTGTTACTGGCTGTAAAGTTGGGAAGTTTGAGACAAAACCCCCAGCAACACAACCATGGTTGCCTGATGAAGCTAGGAACCACGTCAGATTATCAAGGGCTCTCAGACCTGAGTCTGAGAAGAAGCCTAGGTAGAAAATGCAAATGACCAGAAATAAAGCTTGGTTGAGCTTGGAAGTCCAGATGTCATGCCTAGAGTCAGGGTCACAAGTTAGTCTTGACCCTTAGTGTTGAATGCTCTTATCTAAGTCTTTACACAAATCATGACCTTACTCTGGGCCACATCTTGCCCCTAATACAATAACCCTTGAGATTTTCTGGAGCTCTGGACATGCTGCCCAGCCTTTCCCTCCACAGACTCGGAGGAAACAAACGAGTTTGTTGGAACTGAAATTTTAATGCTGAGCTGGCCGGGACAAGCAGGAAGGGTGGGGTAATGCATGGGGGCTGTGGGGAGCAGCCTTGGCCCTGTCCCTCAGATTTAGCAGGCAATTGGCACTCGCAGACTAGAGCTGAGCTCCCAGAGTCTCTCCAACAGGCCCCTGCAAGCCTTGGGATGCTCTTCCTTCACTTCAAGGGTGTTTTGCCAGTGGCGTGCATACCAAGTCTTTGAAAATCCCCCTTGCTTGATTGAAACTGCAGGCTGAAAATCAACAAATACTTTAATTAATCAGGGAGGTTAAAAACGGATATGCCTGCCCAGCAAGAACCTTTGGGCTTTGCCATCCCACAATGGGAAGTTTCTCCTTTATAGACAGACAAACAGAGAGGAATCGCCAGGTTCTGAAAGGGCCCTGCACACATTTGTGCATCTAGAAATAATGTTTCTGTTTGTTTGTTCTTGTTTTGTTTTAACCATTTCTTCATGTTCTCTCTGGTCCTCACAGTGGACAGGAGCATTCCTGGCAGAGTTAAGCCACCTCTACAGTGAAGAGGCAGGGCTGTACTGCCTGGGTTCCAGCCTGCATCCATCCCCGTCAGAGCCATCGAGGGAAGCCCCTTCACACCCCTAACCTGCACACATTCCTTTCCATCTGCCCCTTTCTACTCCTTCTGCAGAAGCCACACTGGGGAGTGGAGTATGGGAGCTGCCTTCTCGGGGCTTCCACCCGACATGTCCCAAGAAGCAAGGTGCAGAGAGGGCTTTGTCTCCAACCTTTCCTTGACTTTGGATGAGCTCTAGTCAGAGGTTGATTCAACACAGGAATATTTCCAGGGTCAAGAAAGAAAATCTGGCCACAGCCAGAAATGATCCCTTTCCCCAATTGCCCTCACACTGGAGTTCAGACAATCTTCAAGGCTTACTGGCCCTCTGCTGTACCCAGTCCTACCTTCCACACACCCTCAGTTCCTGTCATGCATTCCACTTCTGACCTTGCTTTCCCAGGTGCCTGGGTCAATGTCACTGCCAAGGGTTAGCAAAACAGGTAAGGTTTTACACAAAGACCCCAAGAAAAGAGAGGCAGGAAGACTGGCAGCAACCCCTGAATGGTGGCTCCTTCACTGTGTGTGATTTTGAGCCACTGTGGAGTACCAGGCAACAAGTACTGTTAGACCCTTTGACTTGATTGTGTGTCTCTGGAAGCCCCCAGCTTCTCCCAGATGCTGTGTAAGCCCAGGGGTGAGCCTCCACCTTGGATCTTCTATCCAAGCCCAGGCTGGTACCCCAGGGCATGTGTACAGGGAGATAGTTAATTTTTACTGTTATCTTC